AAATCTTTCCCTTTTGCTCAGATTCAGCTCATTTTCAAGCACAAACATGATGTATGTAAACCAGCAGATAATCACAGCCTCCACACCCCCACCTATATCAGATCAGTGGTGTTTAAACCCCCAGTGATCACCTCAGTGTGGTGTTGTATCCTAACCCACGTGAACGTCGTGGACCCTCTGCTTTTTCAAACAGCACAGTCGATGGGAGCGGATGCAGATGAGGGCGGTGTTGCCAGGACTGAGATTTTCAGGATGGCAGGCATGTGTGGTGCCCCAGCCAATCACGGAGAGGATGCTCACAAAGACTCGCAAAATCACCATGATCTCTGCCTCCGTGAAGAAAAACTTTAATCCCCTGAGTGAGAGAGAGCCGGTGACTCGTAACGCCTTTAAAGAGCAATTAAAATTTTTAGTAAGACCCTGCTTTTTTAATTGGATCTCTATTATTGTTTCATGCCTTTCACCGTGGCAGTGTCCCCCTTTCGAGCTCAGTGGAACCTACCTGATTAATTATGAATAAAGCAATAATGAGCATAGCCCTCTTTAACCCGAGTGCAACCTGCATATGACACATTCTTTAATTAAACCGAGCACTTTAATTACATTAAAATTGGGCATACTATTTTTACTGCGTAGACACTCTGTTCAACTCCCTGCTTTGTTCTTTAGATACTCTTTATGCAGTCTTTTTTTCAATCCTTTTAGTGTCTCATGCAAGATATAATACTTTATTGCCTTGCGTCTAAAAGACCTGACCAGGCCACTGCAAGTGGTATTCTATGTGAATTACCATCCAAGGTCTCAGTGATGCGAAACCTTCCCTGCAAAACGAGTTGAACTCCTGTGGGGAAATAATGAATCATTTATCTATTTTTTGGATGACAGGAAAGTGGTCAGGTCTAAATCACCACTCACATCAGCCCCTAAACTAGCCGTTGGCTTCATTTCCTGTATTCTGTTCAAAGTTTTGTAGTTTTGTTTTGTGATTGGCTGGAACACACAGCACAAACTCACAGCTGGATGCAGACTACAGCATCCAACCTCCACGTGTATTGCGCTGGAATATTTCAGAGCTGGAAGCAGTACAGGCCAGTATCACTGATATCATTATGCGATGAATCATCATTTATTTGCAAATATTCTGAACGCATTTTAACGAGCTCTAAATCACTGTGATTTTTACTTTCAACAATAATTATTTAAAACAATAAAACACATTGATATTTGAGGTACATTTTATTGATTTCCAAATAAATTAATGTATATCTTTGTAACACAGTTCAGTGGGCTACATGTTGATGTTAAAGGACTGAAATAAATATTGATAGTATAAGTTTAGTATCGATCCAGAACTAATAAGGTGCAGGTATGATGCTATCGATCTGCCCACCTCTGCTGTGTAAGCAGCGGCAGTTACACTGTCACATTACACCGTCGAGGTAAATGTCAAACGGCTGCAGGTTTGAGAGCGAGCGTGTCTATCACGTGGTAAACGAGCAGCAACTTGAACTTTCGCTTCCTTATCTTCACAGGAGCGGCTCTGTTGACGCTTTCATTGTCTTTTATCTAAATGTGCTACAGGCAGAATCGTGGGAAAGTCCCATCATCATATATGCACTGTTCCGCTTCTAAAACTTGCGCTATCACCTAAGTCAGGATGGCCGAGCGGTCTAAGGCGCTGCGTTCAGGTCGCAGTCTCCCCTGGAGGCGTGGGTTCGAATCCCACTTCTGACAGTAACTTTTCACAAGCAGCACGAACAGCTTGCTCTCCTCGGGGTTGGTTAGAATCTGTTAGTTAACACGCCGCCGTGTTCAGGGTTAAAAATGTCGCATTTTAGTCAGCTGTTCACGGGGTGGCATCAAGTGTCATCCGTCAACACTTTCAAAACGCAGGTGCTGCTATAACTTCGCTTTGTGAGAATCAAGTCCGATTGATTTTAAGTGATAACCTGTTTATTGGATTTGTTAAGAGGAAACCTGAGCGGCCTTTCACAGCTCTGGCCAGTAACCAGTAGCTCCAACCTAAAATAGAAAACTTTCCAGCTCATGCACACATGCAGGCTGGGAAACACAGCTGACAGCATGAAGCACTGTGACTTTACCCCAGTGAAAGAATGAAAAGGTTTAATATAGCAGAAATATAAAAATACGACTGTCAACGAGGATAAATGAATAAATAACTAAATAAATAAAGACATTCAGTGAACAAAGAGCATAATAACTGACATAAATAA